CCACCCATCCATCTACTCTATCCATCCATCCATCTACTGTATCCATCCATCCATCCATCCATCTATCTACTCTATCCACCCATCCATCCATCCACCCATCCATCTACTCTATCCATCCATCCATCCATCTACTGTATCCATCCATCCATCCATCCATCCATCCATCCATCTATCTACTCTATCCACCCATCCATCCATCCACCCATCCATCTACTCTATCCATCTATCCATCCATCCATCCATCTACTGTATCCATCCATCCATCCATCCATCCATCCACTCTATCCACCCATCCACCCATCCATCTACTCTATCCATCCATCCATCCATCCATCTACTGTATCCATCCATCCATCCATCTATCTACTCTATTCACCCACCCATCCATCCATATCCCATGTATTGATCACACTGAACAATGTCTGATTTCATCAATGGTACACTGACAACGTGCACAGTCAGAACTAAAGATCAGACTCATAAAACAAATCACAATTATTAAACGAAACTTGAAAAACCCCAGCAAACCTCACAAACAGCCGGACAGCACAATTTGCTCGTAAAGGAGTGACAAGTGAAGCCCTTCAAGTGAACAGCCAATCAAACGGGGACATTCGCAGCCGCTGGGAATCATCGGCGTCCTTCAGTGTTCTGCACACTGAAAAAATGTGTAAGAATCCTGCTGTTGAAGATTAAAAGTCAAGAAGCTGTCAGAGTATCTCTCACCAGCTGAAAACACAGCAGGCTCATCAATAAATCACAAACACACACAGAAAAACAACTACATGCACGAATATGACAGAAAATACCAATGCATGCAGTGATTTCACTGACAGCTTTCGTAAAATTGCAGTGAGGACGAGAAGTTACCTGAAATAACACAAAAACAGAAGAAATTGATTGTTAGTCTAAAAAAAGTGAAATAGTGTTTAGTGCAATACATTTACAATGGATGTCTATATAGGGCAAGACAATGAATGAGAAATAAACACGGTTTCAAAAGCATTCTCTACTAAACTTAAACTTTGTTTAAACATGGACAAAATCTATTTAATAGCATCCTAAAAATGTGGTAAAATCATTGTGTTTAAATGATTTAAATGATACTATGTATGTATATAGCATTTTTGTCTATGTAGTGTTTATGTATGGCTGCTACTTTGGCCAGGTCAAGACTTCCTGGTAAAATAAATGTCAAATAAAACATGAGATCAGTGCAATTAAATCACTTACCAAAGTTTTGAGTGATGCTATCGCAGTTATTTCCACTCGTCATGATCATGTAGAGTCAGTAAACGGCCGACCTTCTGCTAAAATTACCATTTACACACTTAACGACTCAAACAACGCACATTTTAAAGGAAGAATACAAGCAAATGCATTTAACTTTAGAATACAGTAATTTTCGGTGGTTTCATGCTATTTAACAAACAAACAACTACATAAATATCCGGTTGTGATTATTTTCTGCGATAATCACACTGTAAAAAAAAATATTTTTAAGATTTGTTATCACAAACTTTTTTCTTTAGTCAAATCAACTTAAATAATTTATTTAGTTGAGATAACTTATTATTTTGAGTTTCTGATGATTAAACTAATCTCGTTCATTGTATTAACTCACTTTTTCCAGTTAAATCAACTTAAAATTAAGGCATTACTTACTTTTTTAAGTTAAACCAACAATATTTTTTTACAGTGCAACATTAAGCTGCAAATTATGTCAATAGAGCTTAACTTGATTTAATTGTGTTAAAAAGTTATTGAGACTTATTTAAGACTTCTTAAATAAACAAATCAATAACAACTTGAAATTATTTTATGTGGTTTTAAATAAATAAATAAACAATTATATATTTTTAAATCAATTAATGATAATTTCAAATGATTTTCTATGGTAATCAATTTCGTTTCCCAAACCTTCCTTTAACACCCTTGTAAATGGTGTTTATTTTACCATCAGCCATCTGTTGATTATGTGCGACACAGCGAGTTTAATCTAATATTTCATGAACTAAAAAAAAAAGACTTAAGATAGAACATCTGTGTGTGAATGTCAGAAAATCATCCATTTCATTAAAACCGTATTTATTGAGAACCAACACAACAAAACAGCACAAATCCCCTTCAGAGTTGTGCAGACTATCATTGCCGTGGCAAAGCATCATGGGAAATCCTTGATAGCCTGATAGTAAACATCATAGACAGAAGGCTGTTAATTAACATCCTTCTCAAGGGTATATGCAATTTGATTGTATATAACAGCTTATTAAAGGCATATCGTCCATTATCATTAATTTTCCGTCACTCAATTTCTTATCTTGATTGCTTTTGATTGCTTTTGTCTGCTTGTTCAACATGTCAGAGATCTTGAAAGCAAAGGGAAAGATGATTCTATTCAAAACTAGCAGACAATACGTACAAATGGCTGAATCAAACAAATTTATTCACCATTAGTCTACAAGTACAGATAAAAAAAACACACACACACACACATACATGTTACACACATTTGTGTCATCAAATATACTTCGGGTGAGTTGATGCTAGAAAATGTCCCAACAGAAGCAATGAAAACGCAAAAAGCAACCCATAATAACCCACAAGTGAACTCACTGTTTAACTGCTGCTAACCGAGTGTATATTTACAATCACCTACGCAGAAGGAAATGACACAGGTCCACTGAAAAAATACATGAAACTGAGAAACCAAACAGAGATAATGCGACAAAGGAAAAGAAAAACAACGTCGGTTTTATTGTGCTTTTAAACCCTTTCCCCACTTCGGTATCGAAGCGGGACGTGTTTTGAGAAGAGGCACTCGCTAAAGTGCTTACACAAGTTTATATTCAAGAAGAATTGCTATCGCTATGTTTAGGACTCAAGTTAGAAATCATAAATCTATAAACACTACCACTGAAAAATGTTTGGAAAAATTACGATATGTCCATGTTTTTTGAAAGATGTCTCTTCTGCTCACCAAGGCTGCCTTTATTTAATCAAAAATACAGTAAAACAGTAAAACTGGTAAATATTATTACAACTTAAAATAACTGTTTACTTTGGAACCTTGTTTCCGCCACGGAATAAAACAATATAAAAGGTAATTGTAACTTTTTATCTCACTATTCTAACCTTTTCTCTCCCAATTGCAGGATCTAAACTCACAATTCCGAGTTATAAAGTCAGAATTGCAAGATATCAACTAAGTTATAAAGTTAGAATTACGAGATATTAAGTCACAATTGCAAGAAATAAAGTCAGAATTGCGAGATATGAATTTGTAATTGCAAGAAAAAGTCAGAATTGCGAGATACAAACTTGTAACTGCAAGACAAAAAGTTGGAATTGCAAGAGAGACTTGAAACTGCGAGAAATTAAATCAGAATTGCAAGAAATAAAGTCGGAATTGCGAGATACAAACTTGTAACTGCAAGACAAAAAAGTCGAAATTGCAAGAGAGACTTGAAACTGCGAGAAATTAAATCAGAATTGCAAGAAATAAAGTCGGAATTGCGAGATACAAACTTGCAAATGCGAGAAATCAAATCAGAATTGTGAGAAATAAAGTCGGAATTGTGAGATATAAACTTGCAACTGTGAGAAATAAAGTCAGAATTGCGATATATAAACTTGCAACTGCAAGAAATAAAGTCGGAATTGTAAGATAGAAACTCAGAATTGCAAGAAATAAAGTTCGAATTGCGAGATATAAACTTGCAACTGTAAGAAATAAAGTCGGAATTGCAAGAAATAAAGTCAGAATTGCAAGATATAAATTTGTAATTGAGAGAAAAAGTCAGAATTGCGAGATACAAACTTGCAACTACAAGAAAAAAAAACTCAGAATTGCTATATATAAACTTGGAACTGCGAGAAATAAAAGTCAGAATTACGAGATAGAAATTTGCAACTGCGAAAACTAGAATTGCAAGATATAAACTTGCAACTGTGAGAAATCAAGTTGGAATTGTGATAAAGTCAGAATTGTGTGATATAAACTCAGAATTGCAAGAAATAAAGTTCGAACTGTGAGAATTTCATGCAAATGTGAGGAATAAAGGTGGAATTGCAAAATACAAACTCGGAATTGCAAGAAATTAGGTTGGAATTGCGCAAACTCGCAACTGCAAGAAATAAAGTTGGAATTACGAGATATACACTCGCAACTGCGACAAACAAAGTCGGAATTGCAAGATAGAAACTCAGAATTGCGTGAAATAAAGTTGGAATTGCAAGATATAAAGTTGCAACTGTGAGAAATAGAGTCAGAATTGCGTGATATAAAGTTGCAATTGCGAGAAATAGTCAGAATAGCGAGATTTAAACTCGCAATTCTGTCTTTATAACTTGCAGTTGCGTGATCTTAACTCGCAACAGGAAGTTATAGTCACAATTGTGTGATATAAAGTTGCAGTTGTGAGAAATAGTCAGAATTGTGAGATATAAACTCAGACTTGCAAGAAATGAAGTTCGAATTGCGAGATATAATCATGCAAATGTGAGAAATAAAATTGGAATTGCGAGATAGAAACTCGGAATTGCGAGAAATTAAGTTGGAATTGCGCAAACTTGCAACTGCAAGAAATAAAGTCGGAATTGCGAGATATACACTCGCAACTGCGAGAAACAAAGTCGGAATTGCAAGATAGAAACTCAGAATTGCGAGAAATAAAGTTGGAATTGCAAGATATAAAGTTACAATTGCGAGAAAGTCAGTATAGCGACATTTAAACTCGCAATTCTGACTTTATAACTTGCAGTTGCGTGATCTTAACTCGCAACAGGAAGTCAGTCACAATTGTGCGATATAAAGTTGCAGTTGTGAGAAATAGTTAGAATTGCGTGATAAAAAGTTGCAATTGTGAGCAATAGTCAGAATTGTGAGATATAAATTTGCAACTGTGAAAAAAACATGTTAAAATGTAATTTATTCCTGTGATCAAAGCTGAATTTTCAGCATCATTACTGCAGTCTTCAGTGTCACATGATCCTTCAGAAATCACTCTAATATGGTGATTTGGTGTGCCTTGGTGGGCAGAAGAGACTCCTTTCAAAACCATAAAAAAATCGTAATTATTTCAAGCGTTTGACCGGTAGCGTAGGTTTTTTGATACTGAATGTATATAAAGTCAGTGGAGGTTCGCAACAGTTCAGTACTGATTCTGAAAAAAAAAAAAATAGTTTCAGGCCTCTGTTTCTAGTCCGGCGTCCACGCGCGAAGCCCTTGCGTTTTCTCTACGTGCGAGGAGATCCGGGTTGCTCCGGAAAGTGTGGATCCTATCCCAGCTGACCCAGAACTGATGGAGTGGAAAGCTTGCGCTGGAAGCGGGAACAGGTCAAGGTTGTATGCCTAAAAAAAAGTAACCTTTCCACGTGGGACGCCACACGTTTCCCGAGCCGGATTGTTTGTTGACATCATTCGCTCTCCGGTCTTCTCCCGTCTCTCTCAGACAGTTACTTCGGTCTTACTCGCGGTTCTGTACTGATGATGGTGGTGTCCAGGTATATACTGCAGGTGGTCGACTGTGTGCATCCGTCGGTTGGCGAACGCCTGCCGTTTGTTTCCCACCTGCGCGCTGTTAACAGTCAGTGTGTTGTAGGACTCGTTGTTGCCGCTGCTGGGGTGCGAATGCATCTTCATCATTTTGTAGTGCCGGTCCATGACCGGCGTTGTCGGGATGAACATGTCAGTCTGGGAAAGCGCCCGCGACATGGCCTTCTCCCGGAAGTTGGAGCGCCGCAAGGAGAGCATCTTATCCGGGGAGAGCAGCGGATCCTGGGAGAGCAGTCGGTCGGCCGACAGCAGCTGCTCGTCGGAGAGGATTCGTCCGTGGTACGGAGACAGACCGCCGGCGCCCCCCGTGTACGAGGACAGCCCGTAGTCCCGGTGCTTGGAGCGGGCGGGCGAGAGCACGTGGTCCTGGGACATGGCGCGCTGGACACGTTTGGGTGAGAGGACGTGATCTTGAGACATGGCTCGCTGGACGCGCTTGGGCTTCTGGCGCTGCGCGGGCGGATCCACGTTCAGCTTTATCATGTGCGTCTGCAGGTTTCCCCCGCGAGGCGTCATGTCGGATAAATGGTGCTTCCTCATGTAATACTCCTCGTCTTTGTCACCTGAGAACGAGATATCAAAACGGTTCTGTTATACCGTGACAATAAAACTAACACTTTAGCTTAGGGGCCAATTCTCACGGTTAACTAGTTGCTTACACAGGTAAATCCCCAGAGTTAAAGGAGAACTCCGGCGAACAATGAACATTTGGTCTAATAAAACATCGGTACCTAGTCAATCGTTCTCTGAGATTTGTTTTCATGATGATCGAATGTAAAGAGTTTTATCTCTAAAAAACTGTTTAGCGTATAATGCTAGCAATGGGGGCATTGACTAAGTAAAAAGAAATCGCTAGTTTATACCACTAACAAGGCTCAAAATAGCCCCACACTAACGCAGTAACATAATGAGGCTCCATACATGCAAAACGAAGCATTGAGAACTTTGTAAGAACACTTCGTTCTTTTTTTTTGTAAGTTCACTTCGCGTATACAGACAGGAGCCATCTTAGGAAATAGTCTCGATAAGTCGATCCCCGAACGCCGATCATACAGTACAGAAGTTCGCTGAACTTCATACAGTTCAGATCACTCAGCACGACGTTCGTGGTTTGACTTATCGAGACTATTTTTTAAGATGGCTCCTGTCTGTATACGCGAAGTGAACTGTCTTCATAAAGTATCTTCTTATTAAACGGTCTGTACACTTACAAAGTTCTCAATGCTTCGTTTTGCATGTATGGACCCTCATTATGTTACTAGCCATGTTTCCATCCACTTGTCAATCGAATTATCTGAAATTCGGTTAAAAAACTTATGCGGATAAAGCAGGTGAAAGTGTGTTTCCATCCAACGGCTTTAAAGCGAATAAAAACCTGTACGTAATGACGTCACATTGACGTGTTTTGCGATCAAATTGGTATATCGAATTGATTTGAGACATTTTAAGGTGTTTCCATTTATTTTCGCACTGAATCAAACAACATTCAAGCAAACTTTTGCGAACAAAGTTTTGTTAGACAAAACGGATCGCGCCAGCTACCAAAAATGATCAATATTTCACAAGTTGAAGGCTAATAATGCTTATGTGCCAGCTGATAGTGACATATGAATGGGATAATGTATGCGAGGCGGTTGTTGGTTGTATTCGCTATAACAACCGCCTCGCTATATTATCCTGCTTATTAGCCTACATATAAATCAACCAAATAAATAAATAATTTGACACAAAATATTGACTTAAAAACGAGTATTGCTTCTGCTAAAGAAAATAGTCTGTTCCGTCTCTGAACTGCGTCCATGGCAACGGTGTGTTATACTAGCAGCGCCGCAGTCTGTTAACTAGAAATAACAGGCAACATTCTACATTACAATTCAACCAAGCCACGTAAAAACAAGCAAAACAACGACGCTATAAATATTGCTATGATGATGGCGATGCACGTAAACCCTTTGGTTGAAGCATCTTTTTGCTTTGTCCACTTACATCCGTCTTTGTTGACATCCGCCATGTGTGCGCAAACAGACTGGCCGGAAATGAACTCGTCTTCTGACGTGTTGCAACCATAAAAGGGCATAAAACTTAATAAATTCATTATTTATTCGGCAAATAACGTTTCCATCAGCTTTAATCGCATTAGCCGTATATCGATCAAGAGAAAATCCGATGAGACCGAACGTATTTCATTTGAGTCGATTTTCATGAAATTTCATCGAATTTTACTGTTTCCATAAGGCTTTTTTCATTCGATATCACTTAATTCGGATAAAAACGTGTCGATGGAAACATGGCTACTGTGTAAGTGTGGGGCTATTTTGAGCCTTGTTAGTGGTATAAACTAGCGATTTCTTTTTACTTACTCAATGCCCCCATTACTAGCATTATACGCTAAACAGTTTTTAGAGATAAAACTCTTTACATTCGATTATCATGAAAACAAAACCCAGAGAACGATTGACTAGCTACCGATGTTTTATTAGACCAAAGGTTCATTGTTCGCCGGAGTTCTCCTTTAAATTAACTACTCTGCTCAGAGCACGTAGGGTCCCACGTAATTCTGAATCAGAGTTAAAGTTAATGAGATAATTAAGTGATTAATGAAGTGAAGATTGAGTATTACTGATGAACACCTGCTGTCAACAAGCAGAATCACAGAAGGAAACAGAAACGAACAGAGAAAAAGAAAAACATAAGAGCTACAACTGACTTAAGCCATAACGTTAGATGAAAAACTAGATGAAATGTTAACGGACACACACACAGGGCCTTATTTTAACGATCTGAAACGCAAGTGTCGAAGCGCAAGTAACTTTGTGGGCGGGTCCCGGCGCTGTTGCTATTTTTGTTGCATGTGAATTCCCCAGCTGTTTATGAACACATTTTTTGTTGTTGTTGGTGGATTTGAATATATAGTTGAAACAATCTTAAAAACTATTTCTTATTAACATTTTTTGACAAAAAACAAAAATTCACAAATTTTTTTTTCATTTTTTTACAATGTACCATTCATTTCTTATGGGGGTCATTTTTGACCAAAGACCACAAGTGTGACTATTTTTTTAAGACCACTTAGCATGCTCAGATCATGACCTCATTTTTTGTGTGAGTTCACATACATAATGCCATAAAAGTCACCAAGTTTCGTAACGTTGCGATGAAGCTGTGATTTTTAAAAATTCAAAACATACTTTTTGTAATCAAAATTTATTGGTGTGTATGTGTGTGTGTGTTGGTGGGTGTGTCTGTTTTGCACTCTAGATGTTGTAGAGTGTCACCCCTGTCCTGCGGTGTACTTTTTTTTTTTTTTTTTTAGAATTGTGGCCGATTTGTAGATTGTACATACAAAAATTCTCAAAGTTTTTGTGTTTTTGTCAATTTCCCATTCATTTCCTATGGGTCGGTCATTTTTGACAGAAGAGCAAAAGTGTGACTCATTTTTGACTCTTAAATTGCCCGAATCATGACCTCAATTTGTTTTTGTGTTCACATACCCAATGCCATACAAGTCACCAAGTTTCGTAATTTTCTGAAGAAGCTGTGATTTTTAAATATTCAAAACAGATTTCTTTAATCACAATTTATTGGTGTTTTTGTGTATACAAGTGTGTGTGTGTGTGTGTCTATTTTGCACTCTTGATGTTTTAGAGCGTCACCCCTTCAATGCTGAGCACTTTTTTTCTGCATCGTGGCTGATTTGTAGATTGTACACACAAAAATTCTCAAAGTTTTTGTGTTTTTGTCAATTTCCCATTCATTTCCTATGGGTCGGTCATTTTTGACCGAAGACCACAAGTGTGACTATTTTTTTTACGACCACTAAGCCTGCTCGGATCATGACCTCAATTTTTTTGTGTGTTCACATACATAATGTCATAAAAATCACCAAGTTTCCTAACATTCAGATGAAGCTGTGATTTTTAAAATTTCAAAACAGAAAATTTTTCGGTCAGAAATGACCGAAGAGCACCTGAGGGTTAATAGCACTATGAACAACGCGACGTGCGTCTGTGGAGGGAAAGGTTCGCTTTGCGCGGGTGGAAAATAGAAATGAGACATGCGTTAGTATATAAAGTCATTTGCGCCGGGTGCAAGATAGAGCCCACAGTATCCTTCAACTTATTTTATTATTATTATATTATTGTCTTATTGTTTTGAAACATGAACTCCCCAGCTGATGGTGAAGCTACAGGTCTCTTCTGCTGATGTGCAACGGGCTTCTAAATTGTGTTTTTATGTCTCTGTTGCCTCGCTTTCTCTATTTGGATTGCTCTGTTAATCTTTTCTTTGTTTTTCTCAACAATGGCACAGGAAACACAATGTTTGGAATGAAACCATTGAGACTTAAATGATGAGTCTCTGTGGGACAGGGAAATGAGTGTGTGTGTGGGTGTGTGCGTGAGAGTGAGGCCAATTTTGTAGTGTTTGTTGAGTAGCAGATGAACTCAAGGATAGGGCACTACTCCTGAGATAGCGCTCTAGTCTTCTACCTAGTTCCTCATGAAGCAGTAGGCGTCGGTGGCAGATGTTTGGGATGGTATCCTTTAGGCGTCTTACGGTAAATGTATTCAATCCTGAACTATCACGGCACGGATGTTACGGTTTGGTTTATACAGTCAGACGACGAATGTCGTGACGAATGCCCAATCCAGAAGGGGGCGGCCATAATGCAACACAATAGGGCGTTACCAAAACAATAGGGCGTTATTTGTAGTGGTGTCCGAAATCATAATGGATGTAATAAAGTGCACCGCAATAACTGATGTATGCTCAACAGCTGTCCGAATTCCCTCACTCGTTTCGGATCGTCCTTCAAGTGAACCTTAGTAGTGGACTAATGTAGGGAATAGGGAATGAGGGTTTAGGGGGCGATTTCGAATTCAGCCCAGGAGTTGTTCCACTGTCTGTTTTTGGGATTTGTTGCTTGTACCGAAACTTTTCTAAAAGGGTAGCTTTAAACAGATTAAAATGATGACAGTGTTCTAGTAGAGTCCCCCAAATCCCTCGCCTCGGATATAGAGCAAAGTTACGAGATACATGAATGTACAGGCCTCGATATCGATTCGGCACTGAACTGTTTATCTTTGAGCTAATGAAGACAGGCTGGTGTAGTTCAGAATTACCATCACTGACACGGCAGGGTTTTGGCAGACGAACGGATTCCAAAGGCCGAATGTGCCGATGCGAGGGCGTGACATTAGAGAGAAAAGGTCAGGTGAACAGGCCTAAGGCCTCACGCTGGCTAGCGGTCACTCCAGGACCCCAGAGCTCAATTACACACTCACATAAGAGCGAATCGAATGCCACGGGCTTCAGCCGAGGAATATGAGCTACGGGCCATCACGCACTCTTCAGAATTCAAGTTATTTATCGGAATCGATGGTTCCAAGAAGAACCTTTAAAATCCATGGAATCTTTCAATTCCACTATGAGCTTCTTTTTATCGTGCATATATATATATATATATATGGAACCTTTAGACTAAATATTTTATAAAAATCCCCCCCAAAAAGTTGCATATGTGTTTTTTGTTAAGTATCATATTTGATACACCAGGCTTTTAAGGCTCATATAGTTAGAGATATTATATGAAGCTCACACTCGAGTATAAAAAAGGCTCAAACTGAGCAAAAAATATGCAATTTGTTGCAACTGATATTTATCTGGCCAAAAAGTTATATATTAGGGCTCTGCAAAAATGAATTGCGATTAATCACATCCAAAATAAAAGTCTGTGTTTACATAATATATTTGTGTGTGCTGTGTATGATTTTTTTGTATATATAAATACATATGCATGCATGTATATATTTAAGAATTATTTGCGCTTAAATTCTGTGTATACATATATATATATATAAATACAAAATCTATATTATATAAATATAAATATTTTATATATGAATAATACATTTTCTTAAATTTATACATGCATGTGTGTGTATTTATATATACAAAATAATTATATACAGCACACACAAATATATTATGTAAACACAGACTTATTTTGGATGCGATTAATCGCAATTAATTTTTTGCATTATATATATTTATATATTAGGGCTATGCAAAAATTAATTGCGATTAATATATAGTATATGGACGAAATTCTGGAATGTAAATCCCTGAGATCTTTACAGCAGTCTAGTAGATACGTACATAAAATGCATATAAACATCAGTCGTCTCTATATCTGGCAATAATGTCTTAGCAAGATAATATTTGAATGTTTAGCTTTATGATGAAAGCTCTGTAGTTTTAAAATTATTTGCGATTAAACTGCGATTAATCGCATCCAAAATAACAGTTTGTGTTTACATAATATATGTACACATATATGTGTACATATGTTTATGAAGTGTATAATTATTTTGTATATATATATATACACACACACATGCTTGTACATATTTAAGAAATGTTTTCATGTATACTGTATAATTTACATTATATTTAAATATAAATATTTGACATATAAATAATATTTTTTCTTACATGCAGTGTGTGTATTTATATATATACTGTATATATATGCACAAAATAATTATACACAGTGCACCCACATATATTACGTAAACACAAACTTTTATTTTAGATGCGATTAATCGCGATTAATCGTTTGACGACCCTATTTTAAAAAAATATAATGCAATACAATGATGAACAAACTTTCCTCAAAATCCAGACGATCATGTGCGAAACTCAGATTTTTCGACACAAATGATGGATAATCAAGTAACCGAAGTTGGTTCATCTTGAAACATTATTAACAGATATAACGTTTACTTTATAAAAACCAGTAAAGATTTCACACCAAAAAACACATGAACCACGAGCTGAAGGAGGACGTTTTTACAATTACACCACTTGCTAAGAACTAAAAAATAGATGATTATGTTTTGATCATTTATAGAGGCCTTATAAATTTGTGTATCAAATACGATTGGGATTTATAGGATTAAATTTACGACAAAAATCCCCCAAAAAATTGCATGCCATCTTTAAATTAAAGTCATGCCACCCTGCTCTCTCTCTCTCTCGAAGCGTCTCCCTATTAAAAACGAGACTAATTGTTGTTCATTACTGCTCATTACTCGCAGGTCCGCCTCACAGCAGGTGAAGTCCGAAACGACTCAAACCACACTGCAAACAGGGCTTGTGATTTAAGACGGCAGAAGCACCATTATTCACTCCCCACTGGGAACAGAACCACGTCTGAAGCACTAAAACCGGGTTCGGCTCGCTTAGTATTCAGTAAAAGAGTTGATTGGACTGGCCTGACACCATCAGATGAGAACAAAACCTGAGCGTCTTCTGTTTATTTGTTCCAGAATAGACTGATTTCGCAACAGCGACTCGGTTATTGATCCAAACTGAATCAACACGATTGTCTTTTTAGCAAATATGGATTTTCACTGTGAAGCTGCTTTGAATCAGTAGTGAAATAAATAGAAATAAAGGTGACTTGATTTTTCTCGTCTGTCAGGGCAAGTTTGCGTTCGTTTGCAGCTTCATTAGTAATTCTTCTTGGTTTTCGCTTTTGAATGTCATCCGTACACTGGCATCCATCTGATCATAATGGTTTCGGACTATGTTAACGCAGCATGTCCACACTTTAATGTTTCATTTATCCTGCCCTTTATATTTAATGAAAGCTGTCTGGTTGTTTGTCATTTAGCAGGTGCTTTTATCCGGAGAGATCTGCAGTGCGTTTATTAAAAGCGCAGTCCCGGTGGAGCCGAGCGTCCCGCACAAGGTCACGGGGAAAACTCACTCATTTAAGAAACAAGGCTGTATTTATTTGATTAAAAATACAGAAAAAAAGCAATATTGTGAAAAAAATATTACAATTCAAAATAGCTGTTTTTTCAAAATAAGTGGTAATATCTATATTTTAGGTGCTATTATGTACATTTTAGGTGTTAATATGTACATTGTAGGTGCTAATATCTATATTTTAGGTGCTATTATGTACATTTTAGGTGTTAATATGTACATTTTAGGTTTTAATATGTACATTTTAGGTGCTAATATGTAAATTTTAGGTGTTAATATGTACATTTTAGGTGTTAATATGTAAATTTTAGGTGTTAATATGTACATTTTAGGTGCTAATATGTAAATTTCAGGTGTTAATATGTACATTTTAGGTGCTAATATGTAAATTTTAGGTGTTAATATGTACATTTTAGGTGCTAATCAGTACATTTAAGGTGCTAATCAGTACATTTCGGGAGCTAATGTCAATTTTAGGTCCTAATATGTAAATTTTAGGTGCTAATATGTACATTTTAGGTGTTAATATGTACATTTTAGGTGCTAATAAGTACTTTGAAGGTGTTAATATTTACATTTCGGGAGCTAATGTCAATTTTAGGTCCTAAAATGTAAATTTTAGGTGCTAATAAGTACATTTTAGGTGTTAATATGTAAATTTTAGGTGTTAATATGTAAATTTTAGGTGTTAATATGTACATTTTAGGTGCTAATCAGTACATTTAAGGGTTAATATTTACATTTCGGGAGCTAATGTCAATTTTAGGTCCTAATATGTACATTTTAGGTGTTAATATGTACATTTTAGGTGCTAATATGTACATTTTAGGTGTTAATATGTACATTTTAGGTGCTAATAAGTACATTTAAGGTGTTAATATTTACATTTCGGGAGCTAATGTCAATTTTAGGTCCTAAAATGTAAATTGTAGGTGCTAATATGTACATTTTAGGTGCTAATAAGTACATTTAAGGTGGTAATATGTATATTTTAGGTGCTAATATGTACATTTTGAGTGTTAATATGTACATTTTAGGTGCTAATATGTACCACTAAGGTACCAATATGCAGCCTTTGGGTACAAAAGTGTACCTTTTGAAAAGGTACAGCCCCAGTGACAGCTTTTGTACCTTTTTTTTCGGTGGAGCCGAGCGTCCCGCACAAGGTCACGGGGAAAACTCACTCATTTAAGAAACAAGGCTGTATTTATTTGATTAAAAATACAGAAAAAAAGCAATATTCTGAAAAAATATTACAATTCAAAATAGCTGTTTTCTATGTGAATATATGTAAAAATGTAATTTATTCCTGTAATCAAAGCTGTATTTCCAGCATCATTACTGCAGTCTTCATGTGTCACATGATCCTTCAGAAATCATTATAATGTGATATTTGAGATTCACATATAATATGAAATTCTTTGATGACTAAATATACATTTTTCCAACATTATAAATGTTGGAAAATCAATTAAAATTTCTTCCTTTAAAATGTCTTTCTTAACACAAACTTTTTAACTGTATTATATTACACATCAAACTGGGTTGCTAATGTGAATTTACATTAGATTAAGAGCTTGACTGCTTCTCCTAAATTTAATTAATAAATAGAAAAGGCAATTTATCTCCATATGAATTCAAACATGTCTCCAAAATCTTGAGCTGCTATTCACATTAATTATTTTTATTTTTTTCAGATTAAAATGAATCTTTTTTCATGTCATTTGGTTCATTCAATGAACGAAATGAACAAATTGACTCAGAAAAAGATTCGTTCATTTTGATGAACGAGTTTGAACAGGAGAGTCACGAACGCGCATCACAGAACAGAGCAAGGCGACCATTTGAGCTTATAAAACTTAAACTTTGTTATTTATTTATTAAATGAGCGATCGTTTCGCTTGATAAGACCCTTATTCATCATCTGGTGTCGTTTAAAGCCCTTTGAACAGTTTGCAGTTTGCACTGAAACTCTCTTTTGGACCTTGAACCGTTTGGACCCCATTGAAGTCCATTATATGGAGAAAAATCCTGGAATGTTTTCATCAAAAACCTTAATTTCTTTTCGACTGAAGAAAGAAAGACATGGACATCTTGGATGACATGGGGGTGAGTAAATTATCAGCAAAAGTTTTTTTTTTTTTAAGTGAACTACTCCTTTTATAAACCCTTCACAAAGGGAACCTATTGCAGATTGCAGCGAATATGGAAAAAATATTTCTACCAGAGAATGTAAGCTCTGATAAATGATCATACGACATTAAAACTGCATTCGATCAGAAATTGTGTTTGTTGAAGTCTCTCTCTCTTAACCTCATAACCGTAAAAGGAAAGCATCATTTTCCTTAACACTTTACACTTTTATATTAGTGTGATTGATTCAGTGATGAATGGCAAATCATACACAAATCCACAATCTTATATGATTCTGGTCTCATTTGTAAAGAGATTTCAGTCTGGCTCGCTCTGGATGTGTTGTGTAGCGTGAGGTAGTTACCCAGGTCTGCTTTCAGGGCCATCTCGTAAGACGGCGGGAGGTGAGTGAGGTTCTGGAAGGAGCGGGAGAACGACAGCTCGTACGGCTCCGTCTGGGACGTCAGGATGTTGTTCATTCTCGGCTTCTCTGCGGGGTGGGGAAGAAAAAGAGGCAGAGAAAGATGAAACACAACCGATAAAAGCTCTGTGTTTGTGCTGCCTGAGTGTGTGTGTGTGTAATCGTTTTTTATGAACTTGTTGGGAATGTCGTTCCCTAATTTTAATTGTGCACTGTAAAAAAAATATTTTCAAGATTTGTTATCACAACATATTTTCTTTTGTTAAATCAACTTTATAATAATTCATTTAGTTGAGATAACTTATTATTTTGAGTTTCTGATGATTAAATGAATCTCCTTCATTGTATTAACTCACTTTTTCCAGTTCAATCAACCCAGGTTACTTACTTTTTTAAGTTAAACCAACAATATTTTTTTTACAGTGTAATAATCACAACATTTTTTTTCTTTTGTCAAATCAACTTAAATAATTTATTTAGTTCAGATAACATATAATTTTGAGTTTCTGATGATTAAATCAATGTCCTTCATTGTATTAACTCACTTTTTCCAGTTCAATCAACTTAAAATTTTAAGGCAACCCGGTTACTTACTTTTTTAAGTTAAACCAACAATATTTTTTTACAGTGTATGCTTATGAGACTATGGACTGCCAGGCCTGGGATCTCCACACTATTTTCAGTGGCATGTGTTTCTATTATATATTTATTCTTACAGCGACGATCTTGAGAAGTCTGTTTTCTGAAAAAAAAAGTCAAAATTAAGGGAGTTTATGCTTAAAACAAAATCAAATGTCTATTTTTTCTCTTGTTTTAAGTATAAACACACTTAATTTTGATACCTTATTCAGAAAACAAGACTTACCACCTTAAGTATACTCTCAGAAAAAAGGTACAAAAGCTGTCACTGGGGCTGTACCTTTTCAAAAGGTACATTTTTGTCCATTTAAGGTGCTAATATGTACATTTTAAGTGTTCATATCAATATTTTAGGTGCTATTTTGTACATTTTAGGTGTTGATATGTACATTTTAGGTGCTAATATGTACATTTTAGGTGCAATAAGTACATTTAAGGTGTTAATATGTACATTTCGGGAGCTAATGTCAATTTAAGGTCCTAATATGTAAATTTTAGGTGCTAATAAGTACATTTAAGGTGGCAATATGTACATTTTAGGTGTTAATATGTACATTTTAGGTGCTAATATGTACATTTAAGGTGGCAATATGTATATTTTAGGTGCTAATTTGTACATTTTATGTGTTAATAAGTACATTTAAGGTGTTAATGCGTACATTTCGGGAGCTAATGTCAATTTTAGGTCCTAATATGTACATTTTAGGTGCTAATAAGTAAATTTAAGGTGGTAATCTGTATATTTTAGGTGCTAATATGTACATTTTAAGTGTTAATATGTACATTTTAGGTGCTAATATGTACATTTTAGGTGCTAATATGTACCACTAAGGTACCAATATGTAGCCTTTGGGTACAAAAGTGTACCTTTTGAAAAGGTACAACCCCAGTGACAGCTTTTGTACCTTTTTTTTTTTTTTGAGAGTGTATGTGTGCCTCATGTAAATGTATCTTGATTTAAAGGGGTCATCGGATGCAAAATTCACTTGTGCGTATAAATGTGTCTTTGCAGTGTGTGGAAACAACCAGCATACAATTAAAAAAATGTAACTTTTTTTCTTTTATTCCTCAAAAAGTCAGTCAGACCGAGCACTATGATGTGGTAATGCTCATGCTCCGCCCACAACCACTGATGGACTGTCCCGTATTAGCATATTTCTGCCCTCAGCCATTCGACACGCCCCCATGGGAGAGAGGGGTGGGGCGAGCAGTTGCTCATTATCATTTAAAGAGACATGCACCGAAACAACTTTTTGAGGAGGGAAAAGGGTGTTGTTTTACACAACCATTGAGGAACTTTAACCAAAGTATGTTACAAATGTTACATGAACACCGTAAAGAATCATACCAACTTGTGGAAAATGGGCATCCGATGACCCTTTTAAGGAAAATAAGTCAAAAATACGTTTTGCTGTAATGCAGACATTGTACAAGTACTGTGACAAACACCAACACTGGGAGATTATACATGAGAAATGAGAAATTATACACATGTGAAACATGTGTACTACTTACCATAGTGCTCTATTCTGTGTCCTAACAAACCCAAGTGAGAAAAACAAAATCAGTAACTTGTTTTCTGCAAAATTTTAATTCACGGTGTGACATATTGTAGGGCCGTTCTGTGTCAGATCAACCACATTTCAGAAACTTGACTGGATTTAGATTTTGTTCATATTATTTTCTGAAGAAAGACCAACATATAAAATGCCATATTTATATTTCCTGATTAATCCACTATTTTGGAGAGGACAGTAAACAATGGCACTTTTATCATTACAAAATGATTGTATGCAGTTACCACACTATTGAAAAAAATGAACATGGAGCCACATTGAGATCCCAATATCTCTGGGAATGAAGCATACTGGGCCTTAAAAATGAAGCATCCAAAAGAAAAGTTAGTTGAGAGGGAAAATCTAAGAGGATATATTTAGATATCTTAAAACTTCTTGACTTACAGGCCTGCTAACTTTGGATTAAGAATATTTTTGGTATGTTGAATGCAATTGTTTTTGATAGTGGGAAACAAAATACATTTCCACTTTCCACATTATTTGTTCTACAGACATTCCTCTTTAAAAATAAAAGTATCACCATGTTTTTTAAATTTTTTTATTATTAATATTTTCTTTTATTTCTTTTTTATTACTGATTTTCTGTTTTGTTTTAGAAAAAATGATAATGTAGGACAAGGACAAATATGTTGTATAATATGACCAAAAGTGTATTTTATGTCTTGCAATGTCAATTAAAAAAAAAAAAAAAAAAAAAAAAAAAAGAAAAGTATCAGTTGTGTGCAAAAACGCCTGAAAATAAATAAAATTCAACAATTTAAACATTGAGCCACATTAAGATCCCAATATCTCTGGGATTGAACCACCGAGGGCCTTAAAAATGAAGATTACAAAACAAAACCTTCTTAAGAACCAAAATCCTCAAGGATATTGTGATATGTTTAATGTGTAGAGTTACAGGTACATGTGCAAACTTTGGAAAAAAGAATATTTTTGGCAGGAATGTTCTATTCAATTGTTTTGAACGAGGAAAACGAGATCGATTTCTAGTTTCATCACTATTTGTTCTTCAGACATTCCCCTTTAAAAAGTATCAGATGTACGCAAAGGGATTCGTTCATCAAAATGAACGAATCTTTTCCCAAGTCAACTCGTTCATTTCGTTCGTTGACTGAACCAAATGACACAAAATAAGATTTATTAATTTTGATGAACGAGTTCGAACAGGAGAGTCATGAACGTGCATCACAGAACAGAGCAAGGCGACCATTTGAGCTTATAAAACTTAAATTTTGTTATTTATTTATTAAATGAGCGATCGTTTCGCTTGATAAGACCCTTATTCAACGTCTGGAATCGTTTAAAGCCTTTTGAACAGTTTGTAGTTTGCACTGAAACTGTCTTTTGGACCTTGAACCGTTTGGTTCCCATTGAAGTCCATTATATGGAGAAAAATCCTGGAATGTTTTCATCAAAAACCTTAATTTGGACATGGACATCTTGGATGACATGGGGGTGAGTAAATTATCAGATAAGATGTCATTAATATTTCAATCATGAAAAGGTCTTCTTTAACTGTTGCCGTTGGCATATAATGAGACAAGTATTGCTAAAGTCAACAGACCTACCAATCTCTCTTTTACCAAAGAGACAGCTTTTCAAGTATTACCAAAAATACTTTCTAATCATTTTTACCCCACTGTAATCTGGCTCCAATTCACAGGTGGAAATAGTTATTTTGACACCTTCAACAAAATGGTGGATTACTTGGAATATATTCAGCCTCGACATTCAATATTCTGGCTTTCTTCTCCATTTATGTACTCCATTTATTTGAGCTGTGGACCTCAGGTTGATTCGACACAGAATGGCGCTTCATTATTATTGGAGAGAGCTGATATTAACTTCCTCCAGACCAGTTCGTTTTCAATGACAGCTTTAGCAAACAAAGCTAATTTAATTGAGTACAAAAGCTAATGGCGTCGCCGCTTCGAAACGAGAGATGTGTGCTTTGCAGCCTGAAAAGCTTCAAATTTGTAATGCAAGATATAGTCAGAATAATTACAATTGGGGCTTTTCAATAACGTCTGCAGATCCGATTAGCATACTGTTTTGCTAGCGGGGCCATTTACAGGCTAAGCTTTTAATTTCCTATCAAGAGACTTTTTTTTCATTTTATTTGAGTCAAAGCCATGCTTTTTTTTTTCCCAATCAATTTTTTTTGGTGAAAGCCGTCTCTGATCTTGAAGACTGCCGGGGAGTCAAGCATCTTGAGTAATGGAGATTATCAGTGCTCATTTGATGAGGCTAATTATGAAAATCTTTTCTGGAGATAAAATCTAGCTCCATTAATTTCTCAAATCTACACCGCACTGATATTATCCACCCTGTTTTTCACACTTCAAACTATCTGGATGTGGAAGACTCATCATAAATCAATTAAACTCGGAGTGTCGTTTCATAACTCCGGACATGAATGAATGAGTTACCTGGAAACAAACGAGTTAAGTGACTCACCGATTTTAGGAGTGTGTGACCCAGTGAGATCAAGATGGCTGGTGTAGTCGTGTGGATGGTTATCTGTCAAAAGAAAACGAGGGAAAAACTGGTGTGGTTTAATGTTTTCCATATTAATAAATCTGCGTGACGGAGCACACTTTATCCATTCGGCAGATGCTTCTGGAAGACAATATGTCTTTGTTTACAGCCGAAAACATCTGTACAGCACTCAGAGCAGAAATCCCTCAAGACTTATCAAGAACAGGTTTTAGAGAGGAAAACAGGAAGAAATGCAGCTTTTAAGCTTTAAATAAACACAAAATAATAAACCAATTTTGCTCCATTTCTGCTAGACGTCAGCATTTACTCTTGAAACTAAAATTAAACTAAATGATCTCGGGGATACGGGGTTGATGAAAGGACTGCATGAAAACAACCTGATGTTTACCACATAAATGGCTGGAATTAGAAAAAACAAAACAAATACAAAGTGCTCACAAAGGCTGCATTTATTTGATAAAAAATACCGTAAAAACAGTCAAATTCTGAAATATTATTACAATTCAAAATAACAAGCTTTTTATCATAATATATGTTAAAATGTAATTTATTTATGTGATTTTCAGCATCATTACTCCAGTCTTCAGTGTCGCATGATCCTTCAGAAATCATCCTAATTTGACGATTTTATGCTCAAGAAACCTTTTATCAATGTTGAAAACAGACGTGCTTATACATATGTTTGTGGAAACAATCACAAACTTTTCACCGGTAAAGTGCATGTGCTGGAGGAAGAGTTACAAATGAGTGAAAGCAATTGACCTTTTGCCAGGGGTTTGATTGACAGGTGATCTGACCAATCATAACGCTGAATCCGCCATTTTGTCCGACAAACAAACCAGACAGGAGAGTTAGTAGATTACCGTCAGAGAACTTGAAAAATGGTGTGTAATGTGTACACTCTTAGCAGAAATGGTTCTATTTAGAACCAGAAATGGTTCAATTCCCCGCTTAATATATGGAACTCCAAAATGGTTCTATATAGAACCATTTTTTTTGGTAAAAGGTTCTATTCGGCCAAATACGGAACCCCAGGGTTCTATATAGAACCCAGAGGAACCCTTTTTTAAAGAGTGTATGGAACCTTTTAGGGGTTCCAAATACGGTTCTATATAGAACCTTTTCTTCTAAGAGTGAATTGATGTCTTTCTGCGGTCGAAACAGCATACCTTCTGATGTTCATTCATGTTTATTTTGTGCTATAGCTACTAGTAAAGAGATATCGGTTCAAGGGCTGAAAATAATTGTGCAAAACTGTATCTATTGGTTCATTTCGTAAAAAAATGACAACATTGGATGGCTGAGACTTTGTTTTATACCAAAAGTAACCTGCTTTTTTGTGTCTGTTGGTGTGTTGAGAGTGTCCACTTTGCTCGTTTTGCGAAGGCTCAATTGACATACTTATTACCACAGCAGGTGAAGCAGATGATATTCAAAATTACTGAGCGTTAATGTTCTGAGACTCATAAAATGGCTTTATGTAATGCTCAGTAGGAAAATAAAAGGTTACACGATTTAGACAATTATATCTCATTAGCCAACGAGATCACAGATAAAAAGAGCATGTTTATAAGTGATTAACATCAGCGGATTTGACCGGGTTTCATTTTCCCACAATGCAAATTATCTGGTTACACCAATCCTCTCAGACCAGTTAGAGTGGAAAAAAAGCTTGTAAACAACAATAACGTGACATTAATGAGAAGGCTCATTGAAAATCACTCTAAAACAAAGATTTACTCTTCTCTCTGGATGTCCCGGCCGTGCAACTCAAAACACAAAGAGGAAAAAAACTGGTTGTGTTTGGTGTAATCAGTGTGTGCAGCTTTCAAACATCACAGAGCTTGCGTGGTCTCTTCTGGTTTGTGGATTTGAGGGTAAAAGCAGAACAGACAAGCGCAGGTGATTAGGTGCATTTCCACAGCAGAAAACATAGTCCAATTACACAATGTAGCGCTGCATGCTAAAGCGGCAGGACCGCTAGCTGCTGTCCCACTCGAACATCCCGCTTTGATCAAGGGACCAATTATCCTGTCTCCACTCCGCTGCGTAAATTAACTTGTTTGGTGCTTTCAGACAGGAAACATCTTTCCTTTGCTTCACACGGACACACACACACACACACTTTGCAGCTTCAATACACCAACCGAAAACTGCTTTTCATCCGAAATGATAATGAAAGTCAGGAGAGCGTTTGAAAGACAAAATATCTCAGTATGGAACATTGGTGAAACAAACAAACAAAAGCTTTACATGACGCCTGAACACAGTCAGCTAAAGCAAACTTTCCGAACGCATGAAAGATGAGATGGGATCAATTAGACTCAAATGAAGATCCAAAACATCTTCAGCTCAACGTTGACGGGACAAAAACACACGCTGTCAGACCACAGCAGGCCCTACATGCAATCTGTGCCAATATCTGCAATGGGTTACTGGATAATACACATCAAATGAAGCACTACAGGGACTGGCCATTGAAATATTTTTACCCCTGATGTTTATTCCACAGTGATTTCAAAAACACAACACCAACCAGATCCAAGAAAAATCGGAATGTTATACTTTTTGAGGCCGGATCTACTTCTCTGTGTTTATGAAGAACATTATTGCCGGATCTACTTCTCTGTGTTTATGAAGAACATTGTAGCCGGATCTACTTCTCCGTGTTTATGAAGAACATTGTAGCCGGATCTACTTCTCTGTGTTTATGAAGAACATTGTAGCCGGATCTACTTCTCTGTGTTTATGAAGAACATTGTAGCCGGATCTACTTCTCTGTGTTTATGAAGAACATTGTAGCCGGATCTACTTCTCTGTGTTTATGAAGAACATTGTAGCCGGATCTACTTTTATGAAGAACATTGTAGCTGGATCTACTTTTATGAAGAACATTGTAGCCGGATCTACTTTTATGAAGAACATTGTAGCCGGATCTACTTTTATGAAGAACATTGTAGCCGGATCTACTTTTATGAAGGACATTGTAGCCGGATCTACTTTTATGAAGGACATTGTAGCCGGATCTACTTTTATGAAGGACATTGTAGCCGGATCTCTACTTTTATGAAGAACATTGTAGCCGGATCTACTTTTATGAAGAACATTGTAGCCGGATCTACTTTTATGAAGAACATTGTAGCCGGATCTACTTTTATAAAGAACATTGTAGCCGGATCTACTTCTCTGTGTTTATGAAGAACATTGTAGCTGGATCTACTTTTATGAAGAACATTGTAGCCGGATCTACTTTTATGAAGGACATTGTACCAGGATCTACTTTTATGAAGAACATTGTAGCCGGATCTACTTTTATGAAGAACATTGTACCAGGATCTACTTTTATGAAGAACATTGTAGCCGGATCTACTTTTATGAAGAACATTGTAGCCGGATCTACTTCTCTGTGTTTATGAAGAACATTGTAGCCGGATCTACTTCTCTGTGTTTATGAAGAACATTGTAGCCGGATCTACTTTTATGAAGGACATTGTAGCCGGATCTACTTTTATGAAGAACATTGTAGCCGGATCTACTTTTATGAAGAACATTGTAGCCGGATCTACTTTTATGAAGAACATTGTACCCGGATCTACTTTTATGAAGAACATTGTAGCCGGATCTACTTCTCTGTGTTTATGAAGAACATTGTAGCCGGATCTACTTTTATGAAGAACATTGTAGCTGGATCTACTTTTATGAAGAACATTGTAGCCGGATCTACTTTTATGAAGAACATTGTAGCCGGATCTACTTTTATGAAGAACATTGTAGCCGGATCTACTTTTATGAAGAACATTGTAGCCGGATCTACTTTTATGAAGAACATTGTAGCCGGATCTACTTTTATGAAGGACATTGTAGCCGGATCTACTTTTATGAAGGACATTGTACCAGGATCTACTTTTATGAAGAACATTGTAGCCGGATCTACTTTTATGAAGAACATTGTAGCCGGATCTACTTTTATGAAGAACATTGTAGCCGGATCTACTTTTATAAAGAACATTGTAGCCGGATCTACTTCTCTGTGTTTATGAAGAACATTGTAGCTGGATCTACTTTTATGAAGAACATTGTAGCCGGATCTACTTTTATGAAGGACATTGTACCAGGATCTACTTTTATGAAGAACATTGTAGCCGGATCTACTTTTATGAAGAACATTGTACCAGGATCTACTTTTATGAAGAACATTGTAGCCGGATCTACTTTTATGAAGAACATTGTAGCCGGATCTACTTCTCTGTGTTTATGAAGAACATTGTAGCCGGATCTACTTCTCTGTGTTTATGAAGAACATTGTAGCCGGATCTACTTTTATGAAGGACATTGTAGCCGGATCTACTTTTATGAAGAACATTGTAGCCGGATCTACTTTTATGAAGAACATTGTAGCCGGATCTACTTTTATGAAGAACATTGTACCCGGATCTACTTTTATGAAGAACATTGTAGCCGGATCTACTTCTCTGTGTTTATGAAGAACATTGTAGCCGGATCTACTTTTATGAAGAACATTGTAGCTGGATCTACTTTTATGAAGAACATTGTAGCCGGATCTACTTTTATGAAGAACATTGTAGCCGGATCTACTTTTATGAAGAACATTGTAGCCGGATCTACTTTTATGAAGAACATTGTAGCCGGATCTACTTTTATGAAGAACATTGTAGCCGGATCTACTTTTATGAAGGACATTGTAGCCGGATCTACTTTTATGAAGGACATTGTACCAGGATCTACTTTTATGTAGAACATTGTAGCAGGATCTACTTTTATGAAGAACATTGTAGCCGGATCTACTTTTATGAAGAACATTGTAGCCGGATCTACTTCTCTGTGTTTATGAAGAACATTGTAGCCGGATCTACTTCTCTGTGTTTATGAAGAACATTGTAGCTGGATCTACTTCTCTGTGTTTGCCGGGGAATTTGTCAATTAAACTCAATTTTTAGAAAAAGCAAAAAGAAAAAGGATATATCATCACTTACCAACCTTGCAACTTATGGTAGGTGAGT